TCACTGTATGACAACAGCTATGGAGTGTCGTCTACCAGGTGGAAGAGGGAGTGTTGAGAAGCGCTCCAGCAAAGTGATAGTCGAACGGTGTGTCTAAACGATTAAGTTTGTATTTGCAAATGACCCAGTTTGGTTTCAACATGTCAGTTGGGCACCAACATGACTCACTTTGTATTGTATCAAGGTACCAATTGATCTCACTTTGAGTAACCCAGTCTGTCTTTTGATAAGTGATACTTCTGGCCAGTAGAGTGTAGCGCCTTAATTTTCAAGGCCCTCTGGTGTGTTCTCAAACCCATACTACAGTACACTGTTCCTCAGTAAGTAATTTAGTCTGGCAGTTTTATGGGCAGTTGCCCTTCATGAGGTGGATAAGTTCATTCTGCTTGCTGAGATATTGTTCTAGATCCAGATATACACTATGACCACAGAAGTCCAGTGATGTTGGGGCAGAGTGCCTATGTATTTATAGGTTTTGTTGTTTTCTGAATATGGTCACTGCCTTGAAGCAGAATTTTGCTAAACAAAATAGTGCCTTGTATTGGTTACTAATTAGGACTGGTCTGCCTTGGGAGTGCTGTAGTTGTATGCTAATACCTTAAGTGTTGATGGCAGATAGTATTGAAGAGATAGTTGAGAAATTTGAAAAATGGAAAGGTGAAATGGAGTAAAAAAAAGGGCCTGACAGTGAATATGACAAAATAAAAGTAATGGTTAGTGGTGGGAGTATAGGACCATTTGGAGAAAAATGGTAAATCACTTTGTGCTGTCTGTAAGAAAGTTGTTGGAAGCAATGTGCAGTGAGTGTCGAAGGTGGTACACAAGGGGTGTAAATGGCAGACTTTATATGAAGGTAATCATGTGGCCTTAAACAAGGCTGGAAAAACTCTACATTGGGTTTATTTCCCTGGACTGTTGAGTTCAGCTACTTGGCTGACATGATCAACACACACAAGCTATCTCAGTTGCAAGAATCAGAAGTGCCTGGAGGAAGTTTAGGGAGCTGTTAGCTTTATTGGTGGCAAGAGAACCTTCTCTTCATGCAAAAGGAAAGATGTATTCAGTGGTGTGAGAAGTGTGATGCTGCATGACAGTTAAAGAAGGTGACATACAGTACTGTCATGTGGGCCTAAGCAAACTGAAACGAGAGTGGCAAGGTGGATTTGTAATGTGATGTAGAAAGAAAGGAAGCCCTGATCCGAGGTGGGGGAGACGTGAGCCAAGAACATGGTGGAAACAAGAGGTGAGGATGGATGACAGTGGTAAAGAACCAGAGCAGATAGAGCAAGGTTATTGAGTGGGCAGAGAACAATGTGACAGGCCCAATCCCAAGAAGGAAACAAATGAGAAGATAAAAAAAGTTTTTTTTTTTTTTTTTCCATATCAACATTGGTTTGAATAAAAGATATTTAGGCAGCTATTTCATTGGTATGTCTACGGTTAATATCACATTCATATTTTTTAGCTTATTTGTCCATTGTAATTTATTGTTTAATTCCCATATACTGTATAATTACAGTACGTAATCATATATAGTTGCTGAAAGGAAATTATGTGTATTTATTGCGAAGAAACCTCACTTATATATATATATATATATATATATATATATATATATATATATATATATATATATATATATATATATATATATATATATATATATATATATATATATACATATAGCTAGACCCCGACTTACGACGGGGTTAGGGACCCAAATCCAGGTCGTAAGTCCGAATGGTCGTAAGTCCGACATAGATAAAAAAAAATTAATAATAAATCTACAATGAAATACAGTACAGTGAAAGTAATAAATAATGAGGAATGGATACAGTGTGACTGAGCACTTACCTTTAATGTAGTTAGCTGAATGCACATGGGGCCCCCATAATTTTCTAATTATACATGGAGACTACATTAACTGGAAACGTTTCGGTATAGAAAATGCGTGCGTCATTTGAAGAAGAAAAAAAAATGGTCACAACTGCGGCGGTCGTAAGTCGGGGTCTAGCTGTATATATAATTAATGCTATTGGTGTCATTGTGAATTCCCAAAGATCTCCTCTGCCAGTGTCATGTCCAGCCCCCAGAAGTTTGGTGTAGTCCAACTACTGTACAGAATATGATTCTTTCATGTAAATTACCGTATATACTCGTCTATAATTCTACCTCGTTTATGGGTCAACCCTGATTTTTTTACCAAGAAATCATTAAATTATGATATGCCTCGTTTATAGGTCGACCCAAGTTTTTGAGGGTAATGGAACAGCAAAAACCTTCAGTAAAAACACTCTACGTCCTATAACTGAGGGTCACCGTTCCCGAAACACCGAGCACCGAAGGCAAATTGTTTACCATTATTACGACACTTTACACTGACACGCAGGTAGTTTCAGCAAAAGTATTGTATATTTCCATTCAAGTATTTATTCAAGTCAATTAGGAGGGAATATTATTGTAATACAACAGGTTTTTTTAACTGAAAACCAATCGAAAAGCGATTACGATAACATCTTTTGAACAACGAAAGAAAGAGAAAATTGGTTGTTTTCATCATGGTTTTATCCCACTTTCCACTGTAATACGTATATGTCATTTCAGCAAAAATATTATATTTCCGTGAATGTATTATATCAAGCACAGTATGAATAGAATATCATTGTAATATAACTGTATTTTAACCGAAAACTATAAAAAAACGAGTAACATCTCTTGAACATCGGAGGGTTAGGTAAAGTCTTTTGTTTTCGTCATGTATTTTATCCTATTTTACATTGAAATACATCACGTTTCAGCAAAACTACTAGTATTTATTTCCGAGAATATATTAATTCAGGCACAGTTAAGGTAAAATATATTTGTGATGTAACAGTTTTTTAACTGAAAACGATTCGAAAAACACGTGTACCGTGATACTCAACAGCTGGTGGTGCGTCGTGCATCGTTGTAAACAATATGAGGTTGAGGTGGATTAACGGGTATTATATTAAGTGAAATATCGAAAAGGTTTTTATTACCTGTATTTTTTGTAGGTCAATGAGTACTGTGATACCGTATACGATATGATAAGTTAGCCTGTGCTGAGAACTTCAACATAGACTACTGAAAGCACGTTTTAAGGTAATTTAGCCTATTGTTAGTTGGTGAGCTTCATCTGCTGAAGGCACTGCACAGCTGTTCATTACTAATTGGTACATATTTTATGTTTCCATTGTTTACTGGCAGTAAATGGTAAATAATTTTCATGTCTGAAGCTAAAAGTTGCTCCTCGCCCTTCCCATCATGCACGGACTCAACCTAACAAAACTATTACCCATGTAGAGGTCGACCCCCAATTTTTTGCCTAAAAATTTGGTCTTAAAAACTCGAACTACACACGAGTATATACGGTACCGCCTTTCCTAACAAATGAGACGAGATGATTTTTACAATATGAGGATTCCATCTCCGGCTTTGGTTCAAGTTCAAAGCCAGTCTCTTGTCCTGTTCTTCCCTTTCATTGCTTTGTGTTTGCATATTCTAAGTTTTTCTTTCTCCACCAGGTACATTATAGGTTTCCTTGACAAGCTTTTAGTGATTTCCAAATGGGGGTCCCATAGTAGATAGTGTAAGTTTTCTTGGAATATTTCCAAGCTTTATACAGCATTATGTTATTAAAGTAGGATTGTGTTTCAGCTGCTTGGTGCTTTGTGTTTGACAAGGATGTGTCTCTCTCAACTTTGTTCTGTTCTAGTATACTTGTCTTATTTCTTAGGCTTCATCAAAACCCTGAGTCTGAATTATTGTTCATATGATGGAGGTCTTGAGCTTTCTTTAAAGATTGTTTTTGTTCAAGTTACAGTACTGTACTAAATTCACAGCTGGGGTACACAGCAGGAAGCAACATTATAGGCATCACATTATCAGTGGCATCCTATAATACATATCTAACATCCTCCCTGCAACTCTTTTTGTTCTAATACTGTATCTTATAACTCTTGAATGATTGTATGGTATCTGGGGAGCATGTAAGTTTAGATATCTGTAGTTCATAACAGTTGGAGCTCCTCTCTTAAGTTGAATACTGTGGGACACTCAGAACAGTCCTATGGTCATAAATGATATGAAATCCCATAGTGTAACAGAAATTGGACAGTGCCATGGTTACCTTTCCTGACCCTAAGGATCTTCTGTGAGGTTGCTGACACTGAAGTATAGTTTGTTGTTGTGGATTACATGTAAACAATGAGTGGGCTGAAATGATGCATCCTGCTTGCATGGCAAAGAGCCTGATAGCCTTCTGCGTTAAAGCAAATATCCGGCTTCTGTGTGTGCTTCCTTGAGACTTTGGTTACTAGGGAAATACTGTGTTATTATTAATTTTATAGGTAACAGCCACTATTTCAAGTGGTAAATTTAGCTGGATACATGATACAGGTCATTCAGTCCAGGCTCTCTTTCTCTCTCTTTCTCTCTTTTTTTTTTTATTTGTTTTTTCAATGGAATTTTAGCCAGTCCATCATTTAATGTAGTTAAACTCGCTCACTCCCTCTCTCTAAGCTATATTTGTCCCAAAGAAATTTGTCACCAAAGACTAGTCAGTATTGTGTTGTTTACTTAGAATATTAATTTTATGTACAGTACTTCCTCAGTGATCTTCCTTACATAAATTTGTTGCCTTATTTTCCCTTTTATTAATTTTCATCTGCAGTAAGTAATAAAATCTCCTACGGGTATGACCCCTCCTCCACCTTGAAGGCTTCTTAGACCATTCAAGAAAAACATATTTTCTCATATCAAGGCTCAATCTGCTCACACTCAACTCTATGGTCATTGGTAAGATTACTGTTAGTACTAATGTTAACCAAGTTTGTGACCTGAATTTTTTATTACTGAGAATTTTGTGCAGCTCCGGTAATATTTATTATAATTAGATAGACAGCTAAAGTTTTTCATACTTTCAGAATACTGTTTTTAGCTTCTTTGGCAGTGCTTGACATGACAATTGTTGCTTTCAGATTATGGAATTAAACTTGGACAACTGCAAGAGCACGTCCATTGTAGGTTTGACAGAGGAGTTTGAGAAGCTGGAGGTGTTGAGTCTCATCAATGTAGGCCTCACTTCCCTCAAGGGCTTTCCGGCTCTCCCCAATCTTCGCAAGGTGAGGAATTTGTCATACAGATTATTCTTCCCTGGTCAGTGTGTGGTAGTAGCTCAAACATTTCAAAATTTATTTGAAGCATTACTAATACAGATTTAGATGTTAAGCGCTGTTGTGTTAATTCCTATGTGGTGAAAGTACAGTATTATAAAGGTTGTGTTTTAACCTAACTGTGAATAGAAATATATTTAAATCGTACTTAACTTAGTGTACAGTTTTTATAATAATGTAGTGGACCTACTTTTTTATCATCTCAAATGTAGGTGCAGTATTGTGCATGTATCCTGGGTCAGTGATGTACCCCAAGTGGTGCAAAAAACCATCTTCTATACACAGAAGTGTAGAGTGGGCCACCAGCAGTACTGGTGTCTCACAAGGAATCCCCGTGGCTGCTTGTGTTTGATGCATGTGTCTGCCACACTGAGATGAGGTGGGGTGATTGGGTTCCTTGTGAAACAGTATCACTGGTGGCTGCGCACTCTACACTGGTGTGTTAAGCAGGCAGTTTTATGCCCCGCTTGGGGTACATCGCTGACCTGGGGTACACTTACATTTGTCAATCTTTGGGTCTAACAGTACAGTAACAAAATAGATAGCATTTATCAAATTCAGCCTTCAGATCTTCCTATTTATGTACAAAACAGTCTTGCAACCCTGGTGGCCTGTCAGTAATGCTTTATGCAGTTACATAGCGTAGTATACTGTACATTATTGCCCTGTGTTTGCAGGGACAGGGTTTTGTGGTTTAACCATTTATGAACAATTTGTGTTTGTAATTAGGTAACTAGACCTATCCCAACCTGACCTAAATCTCATATACCACCTAAGGTAACCAGATCTAATCTAACCCACCTGTTTGAGACAAGGCCATCAAACCTTCCATAAGAAATCATTGTACAGTACTGTACTATCTATGTATCAAGAGTTAGCAATTTTTCTTCATCACTAGTTGAGATTTGCCACAGACAACCAGCAGAAAGTGCTATTATTTTAAGCCTACTCATTAGTAGATCCAAATTAAGAAAGGATGCAACAGTTTTGAGAGAGTAAATTACAGTGAATGATGAGAGTTTATGTTGCTCAAGATTCCAGCCATCCGCATCAACTGGGAAAGAGATTTCTTGTGTATCATTGACATTCAGAGAAATATTGCTTTTGATATAATACTGGGTGAGTTATACTGGTGATAGGACAGGAGAGTGCATGACCATTCTTTAGGCCACCTATGCCTCCATACCAAATTTCAGCTCTTTCTTTAAACTGGCAATGCATAAAGAACATAAAAAACTCAGACAATGTATTTTATACAGTCCAATTCTTTTTATCTGTATGTGCCTACAAGAACATGCAATAATTAACGTTAGGTCAAAATTTTGTTCAGCAATACCTTGACTCACTGGGAAGAGGGAAGAACTGGGGATGGGTAGCCTGTGAGATGGCTACTCATGTTACCATTGTTACATGTAATGGAACTATAAAAGTTGTGGAATAATCATTACAAAACTGAAATGTGGCTTAGAAATAAAGAAAATATAATGTAAAACTATAAAATAAGAACGGGGCCCCCCAGGCCCCCCGTTGTGAGTCGTTTGACCTGTGCCCGGGTGGGCTAATTCCTGTAAAAAAAGGAAAAAGAAAAAGGGTACTGTGCTCGTATATGTGTAAAGTGAACGTGTGTGGAGACACTGGGCTGTAACTGCATCACCGACTTGCCAGCCACCCATGCTCCCTCTCTCTGATGTGACATTACGGCATACACACACTCGTGTCTCTTCAAGTCAGCTGGTTGCATGCCTAGCTAAGCTGTGTCGCATTGTTCAAAGGATGGTTTGAGTGTGGAAGAAGCTTCTTTTTTTTCTTTTCTTTTTTAATACATAAATATGTGCTTTTGTATTTTATGATATGCTATACTGTATATTAGTTTTATTGTTTAACATAGCATGACATTAGAGCCCAGCAAGCTTGTAAACAAAGCGGTTACAGTGCCACTGGTGGCAGACACAGGAACGAATAACTTCAGCTGCATTCGGATTGTTGCACTAAATTAAAATTCTAACCGAATGGGACCAAATGGGACAAAAGTTCAGATACCTAGAATATTCAGATAGAATTCTGATTAAAGGAATTGCAGTACAGTACAGTATACATAGAGGATTCAGATACAAGAAGAAACATAGACAGTGGATTTGAAACACATGTTCTTGAATGTCTGAGGTCTTCCCTGAGAAAAAAGGAAGGCCAGTATAAATGTAGGATATGCATTGAAAAGAATATGAACAAGTAATGTTTGGGTTTAAGCCACAGAATGAATGTTGTGTTTGTGTGCATAGCACAATATACACGACAGCCTCTTTCAAAGCTGTTACTGGTAGAAAATACTAATGCAAACAGATCTTTCCTTTGTTTCATTGAAGGTGTTCCTAGCAAGCCTCTCTGTGATAGACCACAATTGTATGTTTTTTTTTTTTTATTATAGATACAGTACAGTGACCCCTCGGTTAACGAACTCAATCCGTTCCAGAAGGTCGTTCGTTAACCGAAACCATTGTTTCAATGGGTTTTTGGGTAATTGGTTCCAGCTCACCGAAAATTTCCTAAATTCAACAAAAATGGTAGAAAAGTTCACTTACTTTGAGGTGTGTATGTAGAAGGCTCCTGGATGATGATGATGATGGGAATAAGAATGGGGGTGGAGGAGAAGGAAGAAGAGAAGGCATTGGGGTGGAAGAGAAGGAAGAAGAGAAGGCATTGGGGTGGAAGAGAAGTCACCCCATGGCACCATTTCACCCATAAAATTTTAGTTCTCTTGGTGTATTTCAAGATTATTTTCTTTAAATCAACACTGCACTGCATTATATATTGACAATATGTAAAATAAATTTCAAAATGACCAATAATTTGCTTGGAAACACAGAAAAAAAGCATTTAGTTGAAGAGAGTCTCAAGCAAGATGTTACCTCCACTGAAAACAGAGAGAGACTAACGCCTGTTTGCTGTGTTAAGAGGCTGGATGCCGCGCATTAAAATAGTCACTTTACCTTCAATTATGTTCAATAATTGTTAAAATGACTAAAAAATTGAATATTAAACTTATAAAATTATTGAATAGTATAAACTTCTTGATATTTACTAAAATAGTAAGGAATTTAAGCCCTAGAACCGATTAATGTATTGGCGGACTGATAATAAAGCTGGTTGCCCGGTCAGTGCAAGCAAAAACATGTTGAGGTCGGTTCGTAAGAAATTCGTTAACCGAATTTTTGTTCGTTAACCGAATTGAAGATCCTTATGGAAGGCAGTTCGTTAAACGAGGGGTCACTGTATATATGAATTCATTGGTCTATGGTCATCATTGCATTTTGTATTTCACAGTTGGAATTGAGTGACAACCGAATCTCTGGTGGGTTGAATGCCCTCACCTGCCTGCCAAAGTTAGCCTACCTGAACCTTTCTGGGAACAGGATTAAGGATTTGGAAACACTAGAACCTTTGGTGAGTGATCTTAATACTTCATCAGTTGAATCATTATCTTTTAAGCATTTTCATCCATAAGAAAAGTTTTATGAGTGTGCTTCATATACTTTTGTCAGTCAAATTAAGATTGTATAAACCTTAATGTTTTGCACAGGATATAAGTTAATATTTTTTGTTGATTGGCTCATACAAAATCTCTGCAGTAGGTTCATATAGCCCTTTGTCCTCTCCGTTCACTTAGGCAAAGCCTCTTCTGTAATGCCCACCTTGCACAATTCCTTGCATTTTTTCATAGACACACAAGTTCATTGATGTATTCTGCAGCCTGAAATGCCAATTTTTTAAAATTCCTTATCCCTTAGGCCCCGGGTGACGTTCCAGAACGTCCGCCAATTTTTTATTTTTTTATTTATTTATTTTATTTTGGGGAAGGTTGATTTTTTTCTCGATTTATCCCTGCTTTAGGTACTGCCAGCAGCATCCTAACCCGGGGGCTTAAGGGTTAACTAATTGCAGAAAAACTTATTCATAGTCCAACCTCATAGTTATATAGTTATCATTATCACTGGATAAATATCATTTTACAGCAACCCTTTGTGTATGGAGCTCCCTCTTCAGTTGAATAAAATTTTCTTGTTAGGAAAATAAAATATTAAAAGTGGCATCCCCATAGTGACTGGGTTAAAGGTCAACCTCATTGTCATGTGACAGTATTTGTTGTGAGTTCCTGGTACAACCTCTCGGATATAAAACTTATTTATGTGATGGACATTTCAGGAATTATTATTTGTTACTTTAGTATTTATTAAAGATTACAACAATATTTGTGGTTGTCTGCCGATACAGTACTGTATTTACTTTGTATATGATGTTTCTAAAATATGTCTCCTCCTGATGTAGGTAGGGGTGGGGTCAAGGTGGTGCTGCTTTCACAATCTGAAAACGAGCTAAATGTAATGAACAAACTAAACAAAGTGGAAGAGTTTTATTGGCCACAGTATTCATGTTTTGAGGATACTGTACTGTACACTTTTCGTTTGTGAATACAATTTTAATTATCATTTCAAAGTTTTATCTTTTCTTTGTGAAAATAGAAAGATAAAAAATAAATAATATTCAATACAAATATGAAGTGCATTCTTATAATTTTACTGCTGTAACAAATGTGTCCCACTATTTTGTTCCCTTTCCACATAAGGCCTGAAATGTTTAAATTTTTCTCTTGTTGCTTCCCACAACCTAGTAACTTGTCCATTCCCCAGATTACCTTTTGCTTTTCCTTAATTTTAACTCCAGCATTATAGGTACAAAATACAGTATTTTTTAATTCGTAACATTTAATAGGGCACAAGTTGATGCCTCAGATATTGGTGATCGATGACTTTGGGGGTAAACGTATTGGACGGCACTTACGCTTGGTGGGTTATTTTTTATCATTATCAGTAAATATGTTTTGTTATTCAGCATCCACTATAATTTGATTTCATTTTCCTGGATACAGAAGGACCTTAAGTCTCTGTTTAACTTGGACCTCTTCAACTGCGAGGTGGCACAGGTTGAGAACTACAGAGAAAAGATGTTCGCTCTCATCCCCTCTCTGGTCTACCTTGATGGGTGAGTTGATCCATTGCATTCACGTATTAGCGTGTAATATATTTCTAATTGGTAAATGTATGACCTTATAGCTTTGTATATTCCCCTTAAAATTTAGTTCATCCCATGGGTTAAATTTTTATTTTATTTATTTATTTTTTCTCCTATGCTAACAGTAAAACAGAATTTTCTAAAGTCAATAACAAAATATTTTCTACAGGTTTGATAAGGAGGATAATAGTGAAGAGGAGGAGGATGGTGAGTCTCTTTTGCTTTGCTTTTGGTGAATGTGTGTGTTTGTGTCTGTATGTGGGAACCATTTTGTTTTACCAGGCTCATTAGTAGCACTATTGTCTTGTGGGGAGAGTCGGAAATTGTTTGTTTTCATTATATACTCCTATATTCAACGTTCTTCACCACCAAGTTCACGAGAGGTGGATTTGCAAGCACCTTTGACTGTGGGTGGTTATAAATATTTAGGAATGGATCTTAAATTGGGTAAGGTACAGGCAGTAGTATAAGGAGAAGATGTTTGTAGTACAGTTACCCTGAATGAGAGGGAGGAGTGAAAATTATGAGAAAAACAAGTATCACTGTTTCTTGTAACAGACTGAAGACATGCAGTTTTTTATGGTATTGTTAAACAGGTTAATTGTTTCTAGATTACACTCAATGGTTTTTATAGGAGAATGATCACTTAATAGGAAAGTAGTGTTTTTGAAATAATTGGCAGAAATATTGGTCCTTTGATATTAATGGGAAGCTCATATTTTTTGTAATATTTATTAAGTTTGTTGGGGCGTGTTTTGTCAAGAAGGAATATAATAATTTTTTTTTTTTTTTTTTTTTCTTCCTCGTGTGTGTTTTGTAGGTGAGGAAGAAGAGGATGGTGTAGAGGTACTTGGTGAAGGTGAGAATGACGACGACTGCGTGGAGGTCTTGGAGGGTGATCACGAGCAGGATGATGAAGACATAGATGGAGAGGAAGAGGAGGAAATTGATGAGGAAGAGGTTGAAGAGGAGGAAGATGAGGATGAGGAGGAAGAAGATGTACCCTTGGATGCACTGTATAAGGAGTACAACCCAGTAAGTTTTGCACTTTTTATGTGTTACGATATGTATAGTATTCAAATATAGCTGTACAGTACCCATAAAGCACAGGTTCAAGACACAATTACATACCAAACAGGTCTTGGTGTATACATTGGGCTTTGCCATATTGTTCATAAACTTAAGTATACTCCTAGTCGGGTTGGAATGCTGTATCCTGTAGCTTGACTTTAGTGCTGCATTTGACCTTGTTATTTTCAGCCTGTTAGCCCACTTTTGCACCCCCACACACACACACACACACACACACACACACAGAAAAAACCTGTCTTTTTTCCTTAAATGTATACTTATCAATAATAAGTTCACACATTAATCACTTTATGAACTGCTTTTAGTCTCTGAGCAAGTACTTAGCTTGTATCAACTCTCAACTTTAGTTATTCCTTGGTTATCACGCCTAATTGGGACCGCGCCGAGTGCGTGATAACGAAAAACGCGATAATAAAAGTACAGAACCTATGGGATTTATTCTAATTGGTTCCAGGCACCCAAGACCCAACCCCAATTTTCCCATTTTACGACCATTTAGACCCACTAAAGATATAGATAATGTTATGCTAAGTATCAGAAACACACATAGGCATGGCTAGATTTATTACAAAGTGATGAAAAGGGTACGCCCAATACTGTAGTCCACAAAACATGTAGCTATGCTTTCTTTATTTGAGTCCCCTGTCTGAGGAGTCCGTTTTTTCATCGCTTCAGGACACCTGAGTCCTCCGTTTTCTCTCAATCTTAGAGTGCACCCGAGACTTCGTTATTCCTTAGTAATGACACAGAATTTTAAATTGCAACTGGGGGTGCAATTGTTGAGGCAACTAGATATGTTTGATTACAGCAAATGTGTTATTGTCAATTTGTAGGTGAAAGATTTTATCCTCAATAGATGTAGGTGAAGCAAATGGGTCAAAACACCTGGAGGCAACTGCGTGATAACGAAATTCTTGGCTTGAAAAATGCACTATAACAGCAGTTGTGAAGATTTTGATGGAGGCGCCATAACGAAAATCGCGATAACCAAGTGGGCTATGACCAAGGGATGACTGTACTGTACAATGAATTTACCTGATCCTTCATTAGTCTAGTAACCTTCACCTTTGCTTCATTTCATAATTCTTATGTCCATTTAGAATCAGACGTAACCCTTACATGAAGAGAAAGCTACCTAATATGCTTAAGTCATGTTACAACATAATATTACAGGAATTCTTATCTGGAACTGACTCCCCAAGCTATGAGCTGCTTTTACTTTCAATGAGTAGCCATGATACAGGCTGTATCTATTGCCCATATGCTTTGGCTACCATATTTTTCGGCGTGGAAGACGCACCCTGGTTTGGAAATGATTTTTTTTTTTTTTTTTTTTTTTTTTTTTTTTTTCTTCTTTCTTTTACGAATATTAGCCCACCTGGGCACAGGTCACTGACCCACATCGGGGCCCAGGGGGCGAAAATGTAATAATAATAATAATAATAATAAAGAACCATAAAGAAATACGAAAATAAAAAAAAATCGAGTGAGAAACAATATATGTACAGTATGCTGTGTTGTCATAGTAAGAGAAACAATTGAGACCCTGCAATTGTGTGTAAATGTGGCAGAAAGTCAGTTCAGCAACCTGGGACTTGGTCACAATTTTTGTGATGCCATATGGCAGCAGGGTCTACCAATATCTTCCCAGGCAGTAGTACCTCCCTGTTTGGTAGCTGTCAACTACCAACACCAGTGAAACCGTTGCTTGATAGTTATACAGCCCTTTTGGCACAAGTATACACACCTCTTTGAATATCATCACTTAGAATTACTTATCAGTCGTCATTTTCATCAATTTAAAAAACAAAAATTTAAGAAGGTGAAATTTTTAATACAGCACTCATTTTATACACCTGGTCACCTCAGCATCTTGGGGGCTGTAGTGTTTACATTCTTTCTCTTGTTTTTGTCGGTATGACAACGACGGGAAATATTTTCCAACAGTAGAAGGTAAGCAAATGTAAACATGTATATCAATGTCTAAATAAAACAAAAAATCTTTATTTAAAAACAAGAAAATAAAAGTAAAAAGCAACTCGTTGTTTGCAAAACCAGTGACTGATTGGTTCTACATAATTATAAAACTGAAGAAAATAAGACCCTGTTTGTAGCTGTAGTAAAATTAATGTAGAAAACTTAGTATGGTTGTTTTAAGTAATGTTATTTAACGTTAATAAATGGAACAATTGAAGTAGCTAACAATTAATGGTAAAAAAAAAGTGAGATTGCGTATGTAAGTGAGCACATGTTTAAACATATCGTCATTACTCTACGTAAGAATATGAAAGCAACACTTATTTACTGTGCATATATATTTTAATTAAAGTTTTTGAATTAAAAAAAATTCTACCCACCAGTGGTGGTAAAGTTTAAAACATATGGACAGCCAATGTTGTTGTTGTGTGTGTTTTGACTTGGATGACGAAGTTGTAGTTAAATTTGGAAGATTTTAATTTTGTGGGGTTTTTACAGTCTAAATGGGTCTCCAAATATGAGAGCCTACTGTAAATAGGTGTCCAAATATGCGAGCCTACAAATAAAGAAACAAACATTCCTGCACTTTGAGACCAGCAGACAACCTTTAGCAACTCCTCAATACATGGCGCTGCCGCACCACTGCCATTAGTAAACAGACCACACAGCAGCAAGGGTTTATTTTTATTTTTCAATATATCAACAATATTAGTTAAATCAATAGTTTTATAGTACTGTATAGAGAATACTTGTAATTGTTAAGTACTGTAATGAGGTAACAGTCTTTGTAAGGGGCTGATTTCAAAAACCTCTGCTACAACTCATCGACTAGTGTCCTGGAAAACGCATGTTAATTTTCGAGGTACAGTATATTTTTGTCATAAAAAGTGCGTATTTTAAGCCGAAAAATACGGTACCCTTTGGCAACCTGACAAGTGAGCGAGGGTGCCTGACAGCCCTATGGAGTAGCTTTCTAACTAACCCTTAGGCCCCAGGTGACGTTCCAGAGCATCCGCCTATTTTCCCATCATTATTTTTAAAGTTGATTTTTCTCGCTTTATCCCTGCAGGGGGGGGGGAGGGGTACTGTAAATTTACCTGGCTCTGAGATGCAACCTTGTACTGCTGGCTTTTCTGTACAAAACTCCTCACGTGTAAATAGATAAATATATGACTGAAAATAAATCATAAATTTTAAATGTTTGTAAACTTTTCTGCATGGAAGCAAGCTGTCAGGAGCAGCCCACAGTGGTTCACCTAACATGGGTGGGGTGACCTAAACGTGAGGCTTGGGAAAGTGTTAAATGTGTGTGCATTGGGGGGGGGGGCATCGGGTCAGACCGAGTTAGGAGGGCATGGGGCTAACGCAGTTTAAGAACCACTGCCCTATAAGGGCTTTATGAAGCCTAAATTCCAATTGTTCCATTGTTTCCCTTGGCTTTATTCCCCTGTCAGGATCACAAGAAACTTAGGCCAGGTTTATGCAGACACTCAAAATTAAATACTGTACGGTCTCTGTATATGCAGTATTGCACTACAGTGGTCCCTCGGTTAACGAACACAATTCGTTCCAGAAGGTTGCTCGTTAACCGAAACCATTGTTTCAATGGGTTTTTGGGTAATTGGTTCCAGCTCACCGAAAATTGCCTAAAGTCAACAAAAAAGGGAGTAAAGTACACTTACTTTGAGGTGTGTATGTAGAAGACTCCTGGATGATGATGATGATGGGAATTAGAATCGGGGTGGAGGAGAAGGGAGAAGAGAAGGCATTGGGGTGGAGGAGAAGGGAGAAGAGAAGGCATTGGGGTGGAGGAGAAGGGAGAAGAGAAGTCACCCCATGGCACCATTTCACCCATAAAATTTTAGTTCACTTGGTGTAATTCAAGATTATTTTCTTTAAATCAACACTGCACTGCATTATATATTGTCAATATGTAAAATAAATTTCAAAATGACCAATAATTTGACTGGAAACACAGAAAAAAAGCGTTTATGTTGAAGAGAGTCTGAAGCAAGATGTTACCTCCACTAAAAAGACACAGAGACTGACGCTTGTATGGTTTGTTGACAGGCTGTTTGGCTCGCTAAAAACTAGTTTCCCTGTACTTAAATTATGTTAAATAATTGTTAAAATTACTAAAAAAATTAATATAAGACTTAAAATCATTGAATAGTACAAACTTCTTGATATTTACTAGAATAGTAAGGAATTTAAGCCTTAGAACCAATTACTGTATTGGCAGACTAATACAACAGCTAGTGAGCAAGCGAAAACATGTTGAGGGGCGCTCGTAAGGAATTTGTTAATCGAGGGAATGCTCGTTAACCGAAGTGAAGAATCTTATGGAAGGTAATTTGTTAACTGAAATTTCGTTAACCGAGGGACCACTGTATATAATTCTTTTAATATTTCTTGCCCCTACATGTAATGTGTGGGATTCTTTCTACATGTAATGTGTGGGATTCTTTGCCCAGCACTTTCATTGGGGTTCTTAGTCTTTAAAAGTAGGGTAAATATGTATTTTTTTTTTTTTTAACGGTCCTTTGAATTTTAAAATTTTTACCTTATGTGATTGCATGAACCAATTTTGTGATCCAGTGCCTAAACAATTCATACAGTGCTTATATGTACAGTGGGGTATGCTATAACGAACGTAATTGGTTCCAGAACCTCGTTCGTTATAGGATTAATCCGTTCCAGGCCCCCAAATACAACCACCTAACACTGAAAAAATTCTGTGGAAAATGTAAAAAATACGGTACTTTATCTTACCTTAGTGTTATTCAGCATGCAGGTACCCCTAAACACTGGCACATCACTATCACTTCCACTGGGAGTCTTGGCTTTAAGGTCCTCAAACAATTGTCTGGCCTTCTCACAAATTATAGCTTCACTAATGTTACCACCTGCCATTTCTTTCTCCTTTATCCACACTAAGAGTAAATTTTCCATCTCTTCAATCACATTACACTTTGCTTTGCTAAGTCTAAAGATTCCCTTAGCCACTTGCACAGTTTTTAACTCCTCTTTATTCTTCAAAATCGTACATATAGTCGATTTAGCCATCCCATATTCATCACTAAGTTTCGCAATGCTTCTTCCATTCTCACGTTTCTTTATAATTTCTTTCTTAGTTTCAAGGGTTATTAGCTTTCTCACTCGCTTTGGACGACTCATTGTTACAATTGTATACTTGTATAACAAAATAGTTATACAAATAACGCGAATTTCCACATCAAAAGACGAAATTTCAACAATAACAGTGGTGCACTAGCTACACAATGAGACAAAGATGGCGCCTGACGCTCTTGTTGTGGGTCGCGGTACAACAATATTCATGCGCCAGGTGAAATAGTCCCGTATTCATCCGCGTTCGTTGTAGGAGTTGCGTTCGTTATAGCATTCTCAATTTTATAGGTAAAACCGTTCGTTATAGGAATATTCGTAGTAGGATCCGTTCGTTATAGCATACCCCACTGTAATAATAATGTCATTTATATTTTTAAATCAATAGTTACATAGGCACCAGTTATTATTGAAGTGTATGATGATAAATACTGTACTGTTATTGACTTGGTTTGTTCCTCAGGTGGGTGATGATGATTATGAGGCAGCCGAAGGAGAGGATGATGATGATGTTGTTCTCGAGGAAGAGGAAGACGGTAAGACCCCCTTCTTTTCAATTACAGTGTATACGTAAAGTCGTCTCTTGTAACTGTTGACAGAGGCATTCCAGGCAGTAGGCAGCTACCAAACAGGGAGGTACTACAGCCTGGGAAGATATTGGAAGCATAATGTGTTGTCTAATGGTAGACCCTGCTGCTATATGGCATTGCAAAAATTGTGACCAAGTCCCAGGTTGCTCATCTGACTTTCTGCCTCATTTACACACAATTGCAGGGTCTCAATTGTTTCTCTTGCTATTGACAACACAACATACATATATCGTTTCTCACTAATGATCTTTTTTTTTTTATTATCTTAATTGTTCCTTATTATTATTATAATTATTATTATTGCAGTGTTTTCATTATTATTATTATCATCATTATTATTTTATTTTTATTTTTGTATTTTTTATTATAAATTTTACTTATCTGAATTATTATTATTATTATTATTATTATTGTTGTTGTTGTTGTTGTTATTGCGTTTTCGCCCCCTGGGCCCTGATGTGGGTCGGTGACCTGTGTCCGGATGGGCTAATACCCGTAAAAAAAAAAAAAGACCTATTGACCACGGGTGTACATACAAAGAGTAGAAAAAATTTCATTCTGTGCAAATTGGTGTAAATTACAGTAGTTCCTTGTCCAGTGCATGTCTACACAAATCTGTTTACTTGCAAGAAATTGTGACACTCATCTCCCCAATACATAAGCAAACCTTCTTACATGTAATTTGTTACTTGGCTGCCATTTCAAATTTAATGCACACCAAACCACATGCAGTCTGCCTCCCTCATACACTGGGCAATAACCTGTATAAATATGGCACAATACCCTGGCTAAATTTAGTGCAATAGGCTATCTAAATAAAGTACAATATCTTGGCTTAACCAGCTTAATAACTTGTCTTAACTAGGCACAATAATCTAACTAAATTCGGTCCAATAACCTAATTAAATGGAACTCGCAAGTCTATAACTTTTGCTCCAGGTTGGTATTCTTATCAATCCTTGAATCACTTGGTCAAGGAATGTGGGTTAATGCATCACCTTGCTCTGTTGTAAGGTAACTTCATTTAGCTTTGCTCCTTCCTCGTCCTCGAGCAGTGTCAGCTCAGCCAACCAGAGCCTCGTGAGTCAATTCCTCTGCATAAAGGTTAGGCAGCTCCACCACATCAGTTTCTTCAAAATCTTAAAATCCCACAATTTGCCAAAGTTGATTATGTGTGCCATTTCTGTTCACATGTTTCTTGGATGAAGAAAGTGTTAGGGATATTATATACTATATATGTATTATCATCAACACGTTTTATAGCCATTTGCCATGCTTAAGTGTGTTAACCATGATTACCTGACAGCAACTTTCCATGCTGCTTGGTCTCTGACAGTCTCTTGTCTGGTTCTTAACTCTAAATGTCATTTTTTATAATCTCTCTTCCTTTCCTCACATTATTCTTGGCCTATCCCTGGTTCTCCTCCCTTCCACATTTAGGCTCCTGCACCTCTTAACCCAATTGATCTCTCATTTTCACCACATACCCAAACTTTCAATACTCAGCTGCCCTCTTAACTGAACTGGGCCTATTGTTATTCAGTGTCACATTGCACATCCACCTCACTATTCTCTTCATCTCGTTCGATCCTGCTTATGTCATCCCTTTTAACTGCCCATATTTCCTTCCCATACAACAGCAGACTTCTCACTCTAGCTGCATACATTCTGTTTCACATTGAGGGATGGTCTTCTTGCTATCAAAACAGGCAGAAGCTCCTTAAATTTCCTCCATCCATTTCTGACTCTTGCAAACGAGTAGACTTCTGCACCCGCACCGGCACTGTTCATGCCATCCAGGTAACAGAAATCAGCACAGTCCAGAGACATATCCCCAATGTTGAGTTTCTCCAGCCTTTCTGTGGGTACATAGTTAACTTCTTATAAACATTCAAAGTCACTAACATTCTGCAGTCTGTGATATATATATATATATATATATATATATATATATATATATATATATATATATATATATATATATATATATATATATATATAAAATAATAATAATAATAAACGGTTTATTGAAAAAGTTTGCAGCCCGAAGGCTGAAAATATACATTGGACATAAATGACTTATTACATACATTGGTGGTTTAACAAAAGCCTTCATTAGAGAAAGGTGAAGGAACATATAGTGAACATACAGATTAATGTTTACACACGTAGATCATGTGAGCTGAGGTGTTGAACAGCAGACACGTAATGTAGTAACTCCCTCACAGATGGTGTTATGAGGGGCATCACGTGGAGTACTAGTTCCCTCACAGGTGGTGCTGTGAGGGGCCTGATGTGGTGTAGTAACTCCCTCACAGATGGTGTATGAGGGGCCTGATGTGGTGTAGTAATTCCCTCACAGGTGGTGTATGAGGGGCCTGATGTGGTGTAGTAATTCCCTCACAGATGGTGTATGAGGGGCCTGATGTGGTGTAGTAATTCTCTCACAGATGGTGTATGAGGGGCCTGATGTGGTGTAGTAATTCTCTCACAGATGGTGTATGAGGGGCCTGATGTGGTGTAGTAATTCTCTCACAGATGGTGTATGAGGGGCATCACATGATGCTGTAGCAACTCATTCACTACGTGGTGTCGTAGCATCATGGGGACACCACTTGATCTGTTGTCACAGGACTTCACTCACTCAAGTGGGTGAGGTGTGGTCCCAGGCCTCTCTATCATGGCATCTCAGGGGAATTATCACTGGGTACCTGGGACCTCACTGTGTGAAGGTTAGCATGGGTAAGACTCAACTGCCAAATTGTTTTTCACTGACTTAAGCACTGTTCACCACTATTCAACACTGGTTCCATTCCTTTCCCAAATGAAATAGTAACTTCTGGCGAGAACTTGTTGATATTCCGGTGGGGAGGAGGGTTCAGGGGAGGGAGTTGGTATGGGCCAACATAGCAGTTGACGTGGCTGCTGCTGAGCAGCGCCAGGTGCGTCTGACCCGTCTTGACCCGTCGGTGGTCTGTGTGTGTGTGCTGATAACCACAAGGAAAGAAGAAAACACGAAATGTTTTCTTCTTTCCTTGTGGTTATCAGCATATACCTGGATCATGCGCACCCACAGTGATTTACTTGCATATATATATATATATATATATATATATATATATATATATATATATATATATATATATATATATATATATATACAGTAAGGTATGCTATAGTCTAGTGGTTCTAGGAACATTGTTATAGCACTAGATTAGTTATAGGATTAATCCGTTCCAGGCCCCAAATATAAACCACTTAACACTGAAAAATGTAATATAAAATTGTAAATTGTAAAAAAGTGCATAAATATGCATCTAAACCCCTGAAATAAAGAATATCATTAATATTTGTAATAAAAAACAATAAATTAGTAAAAAAAAATTTTTTAAATAATGTTAGATTGTAGGAGTTTAGTTTAGATTTATAGCATTCTCAAGTTTATAGGTAAAACCGTTAGATTATTAGATATTTGTAGTAGAATCCGTTAGATTTATAGCATACCCACTGTATATATATATATATATATATATATATATATATATATATATATATATATATATATATATATATATATATATATATATATATATATATATATATATATATATATATATATAGTTAGCAGTCCATTTGAACAGAGGTCCTGCATTAAGTGAAAACGTTAAGTGAATAACAGAACATATGGGATTAATTCCAATAGAACCCAGCCCGACCCCCAAACTCCACTTTTTTGACGACAAATAACTATGTTGTAGTAAAAATAACATCTTAATTTTATGATGGTACATGCACAATTAATACTTAAGAAATAGAGAAACAGTCGCCAAGTTAATGTCCATTCAAATAATGGACTCAACTCCTCCTCTTCTCACACTACACTCACTGGCTCTTCCCTCTGAGAAATTTTGAAACCAGGTATAGTAATAAATAATTCCTCAAACTAAAGTTAGGATAATATAATTGACATTGCTGGATTCTTGTAAGACCAGGAATATTTTGAATATAAATGTCATATATTTTTCACAAAAGATAACATATTTACTCAGAATAAACTTTTCATCTAAAATTTGTATGTCTAATGCAAAATCTATGATGTTTATATTCAAATGATCAGCAAATTGTGAATTCCAGCAATGTAAATTATATTCTGGCGGGATAATTTGTATAGATTTTATGAGCTAAAACAAATATCTTCAGTTAATAAAAAAAAATAATTCTTCAGGGGTAACAGATGGTCGGTCGGTCGGTCCTCCCTCCCCACCCCCACCAACCGTCCCAAGGAGATGTGTGGGATAACCACTAAATTTTAATAAATAATACCTCAAACTAAAGTTAGGATAATATAATTGACATTGCTGGATTCATGTAAGACCAGGAATATTTTGAATATAAATGTCATATATTTTGGACAAAAGATAACATAATTACCTAGAGAACAATTTTTATCTAAAATTGTATGTTTAATAAAATATGTTGTTTTATATTCAAAATGATCACCAAATTATAAATTCCAGCAATGTAAATTATATTCTGGCTAGGTAATTTGTATGAATTTATGAGCTAAAACAGGCAGTCAGGCAGGGTGGCGGGTGGGGGTGGTCTGAATCTAAAATAAGCTCTCGAGCGGACACTCACCGTATAGTAAAAATGCGCGTTAAGTGAAAGTTCAGCTTTGGCAAGGCACGGTATATCTTAGCGTTAAGTGGCGTTAAGCGGTGTCTGTTATATATATATATATATATACACACACACACACACACACACACACACACACACACACACACACATATATACAGTCTCTCCTCGACTTACGACGGGGTTAGGGACGCAATTCCATGTCGTAAATCAAATTGGTCATAAGTCGAAAATGCGAAAATAATACATAGAAAATCTAAAATGGGTGTCTCTTTTTCTTCTCAGCACCACAAAACTCTCACTTTTAA